CCAGGCGCCTGCACAAGTCGCCGTCGCTGTCGTCGTCGTCGTCGTCCTCGTCTAACGCCGAGTCGGGCACCGAGAGCCCGGGTTGCTCGTCGTCGTCCTCGAGCAGCGCCTCGCTCGGCCGGGCGGGCGGCGGCCGCGGCGGCGCCTTCTTCCACTTCGCCGACGGCCCGCCGAGCGCCCCCGGCGCGGCCAACGGGCATCCCGGGCCGCGCGGCCCCGCGCCCGCCGGCTCCCCGCCGCAGCACCAGTTCCACCCGGGCCGCCGGAAACGCGAGAACAAGGCCAGCACCTATGGCCTCAACTACCTGCTGTCGGGCAGCCGCGCGGCCGCGCTGAGCGGAGGGGGCGGCCCCGGGCCCCAGGCGCCGCGGCCCGGCACGCCGTGGAAGAGCCGCGCGTACAGCCCCGGCATCCAGGGGTGAGTGCGGGGCCCGCGCGGGGGAGGCCGGGGTCCGACTCTGGGCCGGAAGGCTTCCCCTGTTACCAAAAATTAAGTTCCTCTTGTAAAGGAGCGATCTGCTTCTCGGATCCGCAAACCGACAGTGCAGGAAAGGGGCCGCTGAACCCGACCTGTAGTACTGGAAGAGGGTGTCAGATACTTCCCCTTTTTTCCTCTCCCCAAGATATGTCAGGGACCCTTTGTCGAAGTGGGGTGCAGATGGGTGTGGAGGTTTATGTCAGCTGCAGACGGTTTTGGCATTGCCGGGAACTTGAATCAAGTTGAAGGCAGATCTGGTTAAATAGTAACTTTTTTCTTTTTGAGAAAATCCTTTTGGAAGATGATTCGTTTTTGTTTTGTTTGTGGTTTTTTTTTTTCTTTTGGTACTGATAAACTTTAACCAACAGTGAATTTAGAAGTCATTTTTTTGGGTGAGGGCTTTAGAATTTAATTTTTTTGCAGAAATTAACATAGAATATCTTTTTTAGTTTTTAAAAAGTAGGTGATAGCCTTCAAAGAAGACAAAAACGTTTGTAGCATGTGTTCTTTGAAAGATGTGTATTTTAAATATTTCCACGTCGGCCTAGCGGGGATTAGAATTTCTGTTTAAGTTTAGTGCAGTTACAAATGACAGGGACTGGTTAAAAGCACAAAAGGTGAGGGGTGGGGTGGGAGTGTGGGTTGAAGCACTCCCAGGTGACGCTGCTCAGGTGGGAAAGCTACCTACCCAGCCCTTTGCCTTCCTGTGCTTTTCTGAGCACCTAGAACCAAAGCATTTGTACATAGATTTTATGTATTTCAAGACTTAAATCATAAACTTTCTTTGCAAGTTGCATCCTGATTTAAAAGCTGCCTAAGCATTTCCCAGGGTATTAGGGTTGTTTACAAATGCTAGAGTTTTTCAAATCCAGCAATTGCTAGATACCGAGATTACTTCTTAAAGTAACTCATTTTTCTTATAAATTTGTTTATTCAAGTTGGAAAATACTAAGTCGATACTACTTTGAAGCAAGTGAGATACACCTTAAGAGTTTTTTGTCCTACAATTTGTTTCACCCGGTTTGGCTTAGAAGCGTTACTTCCTTAAATTTCCTGAAGCCCAGAGTGTGCATTTGAGCCCCAGGTAGGAGTCCTTCTTTCTTGCTTCTCTCCCTCCAGTTCTTGCTTGTCTGGCTGACCAAGCCGAGGTGGTGGGGAGCTATTTCTGGGTGTATAGCATCATACCTGAGTTCCTTGGTGGGGAGGCCGGGGGGTGGGGTGAGACCTGCAGGTTTCCAGCCTGTCATGTCCCTGGGACTGACTGTGTCTTAGCACTAGGAAAACTTGTGGAGCATTTTGGGGTCCAGACGGTCCCAAGTCTTGCTTCCCCCATGAGTGGCTGGCAGCGGCGGAACCATGCCCTTTTGCAGATTACTCAGGCCCTGGAGCCTGTTTCCAGTAAGCTTCGGTATGTACGTTACTCTTGCTTTTTTTTCCTTTTTTTAAGATTTTATTTATTTGAGAGAGCGAGCGTGCATGCCCACGCCTGGGGGGGGAGGACAGGGAGCAGAGGGAGAGGGAGAAGCAGGGAGCCCACCTTGGGCTTGATCCTGGGAGCCTCCGATCCTGACCTGAGTCCCCAGGCACCCCAGCTGCTGCTGCTTTTATTGAAGAATGAGCCCGCTAAGTACCAGTTCTTTGCTAGGGTCTGAGGCAGTGATTGCCTGCAACACGCCCATCTCTTGATCCTGACTCTGAACCCTGGAGCTCCATACGAGTGCCCCTGCCCGGCACACACTAGCACAGCGTCCTGTCCAGCTGTGCAGACCTTCCCTCCTCCTTGTCCATCTCCCCAGTCTGGTCTTTCATCAGATCCTCTGCCCCTTCTCTTTACCCTCATGCAGATTTGTCACCTCTAGTGGAGATTGCTCCAGTGGCCCGAGGTGGTTCTCTTACACACACTGTTGCCAGCCTCTGGGCCTCTCCCAGAACTGCCAGTGGGATAATCGCCTCCATCAGCAGGTTTGGTCAGGTCTGAGGCCTTTAGAACCATGTGATGGTGTCTGTGGGGTCCTCCTGAGGTTAAAGACTGAAGCCTGAGACTCTCAGCATGCCTCCAGGCGCTACTGTCCTGGGCCTTGCCCCTCTGAGGGTCCTCCCCCGCCACCCCCTGCTGGCCAGTGAGATTTCTGCTCAGAGGCCACGTGTAGGGTTGAAGAGTAGCTTCTGAAGCAGCCGGTTCCACATCATAACTTACCTGCCTAGGAGCCAGTGCAGTCGTGCTCCTGGGAATGCTCCTTTTTTTCTCCTTGGCTGCCCACCCTTCCTCGCCTGCCTCTGTGGGCGATGTGTACCCCTCGGGGTCTGTCCACTTATTGCCGTTTCTGCCTGGAGGAGGCTGCTAGGATTGCCTGCCAGGCACCTAGAAGGGTGGCGTGCCTCCGCTTGGTTTGCTACTCTGAATGCTTCTAGCAGGCCGTAGTTTCAGGAGGGACAGGGCAGAGGAGTAGTAAGCCAGAGGAGCACTTAACTGTGGCGCTCAGCCCGTGGTCAGAGGAGGGAGATGTTCCTCGTGATCCTTTCCATGGAGGTCCGCTGGGCTTCTAGCAGCTAACTGTTTGGTATCAAGAAATTAGCCTGTCTAGAACTTGGTGCTGTCCACCAGCTTACTCAGAGTGATGAGGAAGGCCACCACCATGTGCTTCATCTGTAGCTCAGAAGGGGAAAGAACTGTGATAAGACAGCCCTTAGCCTGGTCAGTAGAAAAGAGCCTTGTTGAAGAGCAGTGGCTCAGGCTTACTGTGCAGGCCCAGGACAGGCATTTCTGGAAGGACCGTGTCTGTGGTCCTTAAGAAAGGATAAGCGGTTGCCTGATGCTGTGGGAGCGTGAGCAGCATCAGCCGAAGCCAGTCGGGCGTTTGCGTGGTAGCCCGTGGAGCAACCTGTGCTGTTTCTTCTTTTCTGGGATGGAGGACTCTGCCCTTGGAAAGTGTACTGGTGGCCCGGCCCCACGAGGTTGCCAGTCTGCTTTCAGCCCTGAGCAAGGTGAAGCAGCAGCCGGTGGAGGAGGATGGGGGTCAGAACGGGAACCCTCAAAGCCCGGAAGGGGAAGTGCTCGTTTTGGAGCTGCTCTAGTTCTTGTTCCGTGTTTCTGTTGAACTCTCAAACTTTTGTTTTGGGAATGGTATAAAATGTGCTCTCTACCTGGGTTTCTGACTTAGAGACGCAGGCAGGTGTGGACAGGCTTCTGGGCCCTGCGCTTCCCAGCCTCCGGTGCCTGTCGCCTTCACATGCCCTCACCTCCACCCCCCGGCCCAGCGAGCCGTTGATACCTTGCCCTGGTCAGTCCTGACAGCTTCAGAAACCTCGTCGGCTTAAAGGCAAAGAAAAGTCCCAGGTGAGGAAGGGTGGGAGCTCGGAGCTCAGGTGCGTCGCTGCATCCTTCCTGGTGCCCTGTAGGGTCCCAGGGAGAGCGTAATGGAATGAGGGAAGGCCCCCAGCCTTGGGCAGGCACTTGCAGGCGGGCACTTGCAGGCTGGGCCCTGACCGGGCTTCCATGTGGGCTCTTGGCCTGCCTGCCTCGCGCAGCCGTCGTGCAGCAGCCTTTCTGCCGGGCCCTCAGCAGTGCTGAGTTTTTTGACATCTTCTGTTCACTCAAAGAAAGTTCAGCTCTTCATCTGAAGTTGGTGAGAAACGGACCCAGGTCGTTCATAGGATGGTTAGCCACACCCGCAGGACTCCACGTGTGTTGTCTTCACTTTGTTCGGAGAGTCAAGAGCCTGGAGGGGTATCTGGGACTCCTCCTCTCCCTCTGCTTGCAGCCTGACTTGGCACAAAGTAGCGCACAGGTGACCCCCCCTCCCCCAGGGCGTCCTTGCGGGGGCCCAGCGGCAGGGCGCAGGTGAGAGCCCAGCAGGGCCCACGGCAGATGACAGCAGGGTCACTCCTGTCGCCTCTCAGTCCCGTCTCCGCCTGTACGGACCACGGGACACGTGGGAGAGGTGGGCGCAAGACCTGCCCTGCAAGGTGATGGCGGCACACACGGGCCTCGTTTCCTCCGTGTTCGTCATCTGCAGCCCCCCAGCTATAAGGTTGTTGTGGACGGAAGCTGTGCACGTTTGTTGCTGCGCTGACCGTATGAAATTAGCTCCTCCTCAAAGGTCCCCCCGCCCCCCGGAACAGTATCGCCTGTTCCTGCCTGGTGTGAGTGAGATGGAAAATGTAGTGGGTTGCAGGCTGTGGTGAAGTCGGGGAAATTTGCACCTGGTCGCTGAGAAGTGAAGCTGGACACAGTGAGGACTGCTGACACTCAGGGAAGGGGTTGCCGAGGAGGAGGGCAGGACAGAGGCTCTGGAAAAGGATTGGAATATGAAACAGGCTGCAGGAGTCCTTGGGGAAGATAGAGACCTCCAACGTTTTTTGCAGAAAGTGGCCTTGGTAATGCTCGTGCTGCAGAAGTCACAGTGGGGTGGAGTGGACCCCAGCTTGCTGCCGGCAGCTCGTGAAGGAAAAGCAGTACCACGGCAATGCCATTTGCTTCTTAGAAATAACATGGTTGTGATTGAGTGCCTTGGAAGGTAATTTTTCAGTAAATATTTTAAAGTACCAATTTTTCATAACTTTAGGATTTTCCAGACCTCCTTTGGGTCGCTATTTAGTAAGAAATTTTGGTCCCCATTGTAAATGGAGTCGTGTACATCCAATGCGAGGAGGCATCATGGTTATCCTGGAAATGAGGACTTTTTTATGTTGTTTAGGATCTGGTTTTTTTTTTTTTTTTTTTTAGTTACTGGATAAAGAGGGCTGTAAAAAAACAAGACAAAACAATCAGCAGCCTGTGATGTTGAAGTTGAGAAACCTGGTGTTGATGCTGCACCAGAGCGCAGGCTGACAGGTGAGGGGTCACGGTGTCATGCTCACTGGCTCCCGAGGAGATTGCTGCTGGCCGTGGCTCTGGAGAGGCCCCTCTGGATGCTCTGGTCTTCTCCTAAGGCTGCTGA